TAAAAAGTTAAAGTTTTAAATGTAGGAGACAGAAACAGAGAGACAAATAATTAGTCCAACTACGATCGTAAAGGAAACACTTTCCACTTCCCCTGGAGGACCCTGAGGATTTCCTGTGCCTGATGTACAACACACACTTCATGAAATAATCACAAGTTTAAATATTAATAATTTAATATTTTCCAGGTTCAGAAAACAAAAAAATGTCCATATTTGGAGGTTAGAGGTGCTGTCACAGACCTTCCCTTTTTAATTCTTCATTCATTTAAAATACGTGGCTGGGTTAACGTTAGGCATCATAACTGCTGGGTTATTATTAACAGGGAGTTTTTCCTTCCCACTCTTGCCAAGTGCTCACAGGTTGTCTGATTGTCGGGTCGTTTGCACACTTTTGTACAGCACTGGGTGCCGGCTGTAGTGATTTTCTTTTGGGTCCACTGGTAAGTCCCAGTTCCACGATTGTTTTATTGTAACTTTAGGACACTGTAAACTACAACACTACATTTCTTTTTCCTAATATTTTACTCTTTATTTTTTTTTACTATAAATAAAGCTGTTAATATTGGATCCAACCTGCCTCGGTGTGCATCCTTGAATCTCTGCGGCCTCTTTTATTTGCTTTTATCTATTTTTCTTAAATATATATTTCCTGTGGGTGAAATTCCCATAGGTGGCGTTGTCATTTTATTATTTTTTGTGTAACCCCGCCAACCACTTGGTCACATACTTGGTCACATACACATTACCTTACACTACTAATACTTTATAAAGTTGAACTGAACTGAGTTACGTTTGCAAAAACATCTTTTAGATGTTTTCTTCCATGGTTGCCATGGTGACCAATGGTCAATGGTAACTTTATTGTCCCTAACAGGAAATTGATTTGCAGTATGTCCGTACAAACAAACAAACAGACAACCAACACATCACATACACTCACCAAAATAATATAATATAAGCCTGATAAAACAACCTAGATTTTTCATCAAAGAAGCGCAATGTGCAATGGCAACAACACTTATGGTTTAGTGTTATTAACTATGAACGTCTCCCAGCTTCCTCAGGGCATGAAACATACTTCCTTTCCTTTTCCTTTATTTATGTATTCATGCTCACTATCACCAAAATTTAATGTCTGATAATCAGCTTTGTGACTATTTCACCGCAAAGATGCTTTGTGTCTCCATGTTCAGCAGTTTTCCTCCCAGCTGGAAAAACCTCCAAGGCGAAGCATCCTGATCCACTCAGCAACACAAAGGAGGCTCTCCTCCAGATGTCTGCGCCCCCCCACAGACAGAAGCTATGGCAGATGCAGCCCTGTTGTTCTCTCACGACCCGGCGCTCCGGCCCAAACGTGAGTGTAGGAACGTCGATCGACTGGAAAATCATCAGCCTCACCACAAGGGTGCGCCCCATCCTCCACTGGCCCATCACTCCGAGCCCTGGCGTCCAAACAGGAAGCGATTCGTCAGTCGCTTGGTGCTTTGTCGACATTTCATGCTCTTGGTTCCCTTGGTAACAATCTAATTAATTTACCTCCCTGTCATATGACAACCAACTGCATCCTCCCAGTACAGATCGCTAATTTCTGCGGTCGTTGCTTGAAGTTGCTCAGTGTGGTCGACTTCCTGTGGTCCCGCCGTGCTGTGAATCACTTCCTGTGACAGCGATCGTTAAGACTCTCAGCCCAGCTGCTGTGTTTTGTATTTTAATGGCGTTAAAGCTGCAGCTCAGTTGTCCTCATTATTTCTGTAGATGTGTTGATTGACTCCCAGTGTCCTCTCGCCGACTCGTGCTTCATATCTTCAGAACAACACACCCAGAACATCTCCGGGCTCGTCCTCTGAAAAACACTTGGACAACACCTGGATCGCAGAGGCTCACCTGCTGTGTGATCATGTGACCCGTCTCGCGGTCACACACTGATTTCCATCATTACGGAGATCCCACAGGTACGATCAGGGAAAAGTCTAATTAACAGCTGTTCATTAATGATCAGACTGCACTGCAGGTGCACTGTGAAGTCCGCAAGCTCGAATCGGCCACACATGGTCTGATAACAGCGACCTGCAGGTTACTCAAACTCAGGTCATCCCGTCCCACAAATCCTGGATGTCCTAACTGCGCTGTTTGTTTCTCACCATCTGTTTTTTGTTTTTTTAATTACGGGACACCGTCCAGGTAATGAGCCACCAGGTGTGGTGTAGACTGTGAACCACATGTGTAGCCTCCACGATCTTAACACGGCGACCTTTCACCTTTTACTGTTCAAACTGAACTTACTGCCACGCTGCACTTTGTTTCTGTTGATTTGGTTGGACGTGCACTTTGAGAGGACGGGTGGAGACAGATCAATAGAGCCTGGGTTTGTTTTGTTTTCACACCCGTGGAGCTGTTACTTTACATTTCCACACTCGCTCCTGATATAATCAGAACATTTGGAGCAGCCTTTGAATTTTCTTCCTCCAAAACGAGGTCTGCAGTACACTGCAGGATGTGGAGAACACCGAGTTTGCAGTTGCCTGTTTTCAAAAGATATTGGCAGGCAATTTATTTTAGGGAGACTGAATGAGGTGGAGCTGAATCTAAATGAACTGCAGCGAAATGTGAGACACGGCAAAACCCCCGGGGGCTCCGAAGGAGTCAAAAACCAATCAGCTGACAACCTGGGTTGTTACTCGAGGCCTTGGACTTCCCGTCTGAGGAAGACCAAACGCATGCTTGTAGCTTTGTGTGCGTAAAATGTGATAAATGATCTTTTTGTCTTGAATCTTTGGATCCAGCGGTGAGTTTCTGCAGTACTTTGGGTCGTGGTTGTAGTAGCAGAAGGTTTTGTTGTTTGTGAGCAGCAGCCAATCAGAGGAAAGTTGGCTTAGAGAGGGAGGAGCTTAAACAGCTAGGTTCAGACAAAGGAGGAAGTGAGGGGTAAATATTTGGGGTTTGAAGAGGGCCTGCTCTGATGAGCCTTTCATGTTTCTGTTTTATATCTCAGGTTTTATTTTCCCTTCATCTGGGAACTTTTATCTAATTTTAATATTTTGCTGAAAATAAACTCATCAATTAAAACGCCTCTCATTAGCATCAACATGTGAAAACAGCCCTGCAGGGAAATGTTTAACCGCCTCCTCCTGAGGAGCTTCTCATAGAGCTTGATGATGTCGGAGGGGAATCCAAAGAGCCTCTCCTCTATAAATGTTTTGAATCCACTTCACAGCAAATATCACTTAAAGACAGAGACACACTCTCTCAGCTTCCTCGCTCAGCTCCTCATCATGCAGATTATGCTTCCTTCGCAGCTCTCTGGGTTCTGATGAATAAAGACGAGGAGCCCTGACAGCTTAGAGAGAGTCAGCACTCTGCAGCGTCCTCGACTTCAAGAAACACACTGGTCTAAACACAGAAACAGGGTTAATTAGAGCATTAATTCCTCCGACCTCTCCTGTTATCAGCGTTTCAGAGCATGACTCATATTCGACTCAACACGCTGGATTTATTCAGGAAGGTCGAGCTCTGGAGACTTATTCCCCATGACAACCGTCTCGTCAGGACGGGAACAGCCGAAGTCGTCTTTCAGAGATCCGATGCACCGACAGCTCTAACTAATAATCCTGTGCAACCAGTAACAGCAGGAATGAGGTGTAATCTGGGCTTAAACTGGGATTTCTCACTGGTGGGATTATTTCTTTAGCAGAAAGTAGATCCACTGGATACTGCTTTTGTCTGTTGAGACTGTGGATTGAAGCTGTCTCAGTGCTTTGACTGCTGGGATACGCTCCATAACAACAAATCCTTTCTGTAGGTTTGACCTCTGAACTACACCCACTCTGAGTCTGTTTCTGTTTTTGCTCCTGGGTCTTTTATTTTGAAAACTGATATGATTCTCTCTGCTGTTCCTGTGGTTGACTTCCTGCCCTGCTCACCTGCTCTACGGTCGTGTCCAATTTCATGGGCTGCATCCTCCTGAGGACCCGGCCTTCGGGGTCTATGTGGGCCGGGTCCTCAGAAGGTCGGGTCGGCCGGAAGTGAGCGGCTGTGAAATGGGACGGTCGAGCCTTCAGATCTGCGTCACCGCTGTCTCGGCCACTGTTGGAAACTGGAATTGGCTGGGCCGCGCTATGAATTCTGAGATATGGTGGGCCACGAAGAACACACCCAACCCATCCTTCAAATTCGGGGAAAAGGAGGATGCATTTGGAGGAGTCTACGAATTAGGGCAGCCTTCGTTGTGTCGCCATGACGTAATCGGCCTCAGGAGGAAGCAGCCCATGAACTTGGACATCCCCTATGTAGCTTCAGACGGTGAAACTGGATGTGTCATGAGTTTGTGTGATCAGGTCCACTCATCAAAGCCAGAACACAACACACTGTGCACAGTGTCATTTCAGTTTCCACTGAAACAGGCCCCGTCCCCCCAGACCCCGTCCCCCCAGACCCCGTCCCCCCAGAGGGCCTAAAGCTGGGATCAAAGAACTGATTGATTTACGCTGTACTCACCCAGAGCATTAAAGCATTACACATACTCTCAGCTGAGTTTTGCAGAGAGGTCCAGTTTGTGTAAAAATCATCGCCAAACAAGTCCGTTTGATTAAGCTCACCACAGAAGGACCAGTTTCTGCTGAGCGAGCGTCAGTGTAAGGTCCTAATGAGTGTTCAGCAGCACCACAGGACGCCAACAAGGAACTCCAGAGATCAAACACTCCCTGTCAGAGCACAGGCATCTGCAGCCACGCGTTTAGAAAACATCATATAAATACTTCAAAAAGGCAGGAGCGCTCGTTTTAGACAGACAGCACAGCCGGATGATGCTGAGTGATAATTCATTACTGCACGCCTCCCACTGCTGTACAAGAATGAAGAGTTTGCACAGCACAGCGTGTTTAGCATTAGTACTTTGGTCATGTGATCACCTCACAAAGCTGATGACTGTGGTGATCACATGACTTTGAGTCTGCTGTGAGACCTGCACTTCAAACTGGGCAGATGGAAAGTTGAAGCTTTACCTCTCGTAAGTAGCAGGAAATTCCTCTCAGGGCTTCACCCATGGCAGTCGGAGAGGGAAGCTGAGGGCGAGACGAGAATAGAGCAGAGAGAGGAAACAGTGAGGATGACTTTTGATGCTTCATCGTATCATAGACTGTATATAGCAGATGGAAGTCTGTATCAGGCTGTAAACGTGTTTCTTTCTGCTGTAACGTTTGAACATGGGAGTCTATGGGGACTGACTCACTGCTGGAGCCTGCTGGACGTTAGTGGAACTGCAGCAGATTCTTTCTCTTTGTAAAACCTGTTTAAAGTCTGGATTCCATCTTTACAGTGAATCACATGAAGGTGCACCAGGACCGTAACCTCCTCGTCACAAGGAGACGTCATTCGTTGCCTGGTGATTTTATTGCATTACGCTGAATTTTTTCACGTTGGGTAACCAATTGCACAAATTCCATGTTTATGTTGCAGTCAGTCTGCTGATGACAGCAACTTGTCACCAACATCTCTTTAGATCCTCTGGTTGTGACCAAGGTAGCTGAGCATCTGTGTCGTCCTGCAGTTACGTTGCCATCAGTGTTTGTGTATGTAGATGGCAACAGATTTGCGATGTCTCCCAGTTTATCACCGTTAATCGTCGTGTTATCACAGAGTGTACTGTGGACCTGATCCCACTCAGCTGCACACTGACTCAGTCTGCAGGACCTGATTGGAAGTGACCACAGACGGGGTCTCCATCTTCAGATCAAACACTTAAAGCTCTACAAGTTCATCATCATGCTGCAGTTTTTGTTAGTGTGACTGCAACACAAACGTCAACCGAGGAACAATTTTTGAAAATAAACCCAACGGGATCCAAAATTCTTGACAGTTTCTGAAAGTCACAAAATTTTATCTTTTTATAGCTTTTAGGAAACGTGTAATAACATTTTCATATTAAAGTCTTTTTCCAGCGCGTGCGTGTGCGCGTGTCCTACCGGTGGCGGATGCTCCAGGCAGGTGTGGAAATGTTTCGTCTGGTCGGGTTTCACGCGCTTCAGAGGGACTCGGGACTCCCCGATTAACTCATTATGAGTCAACTTGTCCTCGTCACACACGGACAACCTGAACAAGGAGAGGAAGCAAAGGAGTCAGGAGGGGAGGGAAGGAGAGGAAAGAGGAAAAAGTACAAAAAAACAAAGAACTACTGTTGAAATGAAATAAACAGGAGAGGACTGTGAAAGAGCACCAGAGGCAGGAAAGGAACCAGGACATAGCAGAGGAAACAAACAAAATGAATTTAGGAGACAGGAGATGAAACTGCAGATGTATTAGGAATATAGTAAAGATTGCATGAAACAGTAGAGCAGACAGGAAAGGGATCAGAAAACAAATGAAGGAAAGGAAGCAGGAAACAAATCAGAAGGAAAAGGAAAAATGAATGGGATAAGGAAACAGCAAAGGAAACAAGAGAGGACAAAAGAGATGAAACAGAAGAGGAAACAGGAGAGGGAATGGCAAAGGAGACTAGTGAGGAAACAGGGGAAGAAGCAGAAGAGGAAATAGGAATGGAAACACAGAAAGGGATAGGACAGTGATAAGGAATCAGGAAACTAAGACCAGAGAAGGAACAGAAATGTGTAAGAAGACAAAAGACCTGGCAAGGAGATGAAAATGGGAAAGGAGACAGGAAACGAAAGAGGAAACAGCAAAGCAATTGGGAAACAGAAGAAATAGAACAAGAAAAAAGACTGAAAACAGAAGAGGAAATAAGAAAGGAGAGGAGGAGATTACAAAGGAATCAAAGGAGGAAGCTGAAAAGAAACATGAGAGGAACAGGAAACAGGAGGAATAAAATAAGGAAGTACATAAAGGTCTGAAGCTCAAAACAACCTTTTTTTCTCAATGAGAACTTTTAAACACAAGCTCACAAAGTACTTCACAGACACAGGAAACACACAGATGCACCTCTAAGAAACCGACGACATAACCGAGTTCAAGATGAACCTCCGCCCGCACGCCGAATCAAAAACAGCTTTATTCTTCTTTTGCTTTTCAGAGTGAGATTAATGATCATCTTTAGAGCGTTTCAGTTTCCGCCGCGTGGCCGTGTTTGCATCTCATACTTTATTCAGTGGGAGAAATCTGGACACGAGCAGGAGGCAGAGGGAGAGTCGACCTCCTCGGGCTCAACGTTAGACTGGAACTAGTTCAGAATATCATTATTCCCGCGCTTCCTCTGGGATTTCTGACAGTGATTCACGCTTCTCCTCACGCCCTGATGCATAACCTCCGTCAGCAGCAGGCGTAGGAGAGGAAACCCTCCTCCTCTTCCTCCTCCCGCTGCTGCTGACGAGCACTTGACAGCTCTGAAAAAGGTCGCGAGTGTGATCGCGATCAAACTGCAGAAGCTGCCAGTGAAAAAGCAAAATGTCAGATCAAACGAAGCTGCCGACTCCCGACACGCTCCTCCTCATCCAGCCATCAAACACGGCACCTCCACAGCCTGTCGGGTGGTGTCGAGGCTGAGCGTCAGCAGGCCTTCGTCCAGTTCATTTACATTTAGCACACAGTGAGGGAAACATGCCGGCTCTAACATCGAGCCCTGCTGAGGTTAGTTCATACCAGACAAGAAAGGAAACAGGAAACAAGAGGAAACATGAGAGGAGACAGGAGAGCAGTGTTGGTTTGTGCTGAGACCAGAGGCAGGAACGGCTTCATCCGCCCTGCTGGAGTTTCACCTGTTTACATCTTCCTGTTCTGACAGTGTCTAAACACACACACACGCACACACACACACACACATAAACACACACGCGCACACACACGTTTCTGCTTTTCATCAAACTGCATCAGATCAAACGTCGTGTTGGAGACGGACGACAGACGGCGTCGGCACAGCTTCGGATTAAACCTTAATACAAACGGCATTTTAAATGTGGATGCAAACAATGTGGGAATGCTGACGGGAAAAGTCGAGACAGCGAATGCTGTGAGCCGAGCGTGTCGCCAAGCTGCTGCCCACCAGATATATTTATAAAAACTGAAATTCACAGCGTGGAGCGCGTCGACACTGAGCCTGCGTGTTTGGGTGACTGACCTCTTCTTAGCAAGGCTTTTATTTTTATTTACAGCCTGAATCTGTCTGAGATTGCCAGCTTCTGGGGATCAAATCGGTTCAAAGGTCAGAAGCCTGCAGAGCTAATACTGAGAAATCGAGACATCTTTATCTGAACATAATGAAGTCGTGAACTCTGACCCAGACCACGAACCTAAGCTGTGCTCTGACCTCTAAACAGCAGCTTAATGAGGCGAAGTCCACAGAAACTATGAGAACAGTTTTAGAAAAAGAGGATTTTTCATAAGATTTGTAAAGAAAGTGAAAATATAGACTGTTTTTTAAAAAGAAACTAGACGAAGAAATAAGGAATTGTTTAACATATAAGACCACAGCTGTTAAGATTGGCTTTAGCTTCTTTTAAAGAGATAGCAAGGATAGTGGAACTGCAGCCCTGCAGCAGTATATGAATGACTAACCTCATGTTGTGGATGGATTATCTCAGTTCTCCTGACTGAAGTTTGGTCCGTTTACAGCATCCTGCCATGCGATTGCATTTGTCTCTAACCATTAGTGATGCACGAATCATGAACGAATCGTTCAATACTCGAGAATCACTTTACTGACTCATGAATCATGATTCACAAGCCCAACTGACTCACTGACTCATCCCTGTTGCTGTTAGCAGCAATGTATCTAGCTTATAATTAAAATTATGGAGAAAAACACAACATCCAGTATCTTAACAAAAAAATTTCTGCTTTGAACTGGAAGAAAAAACCCTGAGTAGAAGCTCACATCAAGAAAATAGCTCCTCGGTTCACAGTAGCATCGCTCTGCTAACATGCTAACAGCACATTTGAGCTACTCACCCCCTTCCTTCCTGTGCTGAATCATAGAGCGAACGAATCACTCACCCACACAGTAAAAAGAATCAAATTTACCATGACTACTAACCATCAGGAACCTTCACGTTGACTTTTATCGAGTGGAAGAAAGTTAGCATCATCCTCCAGCTTCACTGTGTTTATGCTAACATAGCTGTGTAGCTAGCGATCACGTAGCACATCAAATTTAATAAATTCTGTTTTCATTGTCTGGATGTTAAACCTGGTAAAGCAGCCACGCTATCATTGTATTACAGATGAAAGTGCAGTTTGTAGCTCAGTGATGCAGCAGAGTTTGTACCCGGAAACAGTTAATGACGTCAGACATACAGACCGGATGGACTTATTATTAGTTACTAATCACTCTAATAGGAGTGTTGATGCTATCATTAGTATTTTTCTTTCCTTCTTTTTTGTCTCCTTTTGTGAGATACTGAACCCCAATTTGCTCTGTTGTGTTCATCAGAGTGTGACTGTCAGACAGAAAGTATTTAGGTGTAGAAAAAACCTTATGTGAATGAGGCGCGTTTTATTTGACTGATCCCGTAGAGTAGAAACTGCTGTATAACCACAGATTAATCCGTGATGTAGTGAGTCCACGAAAGGTACACATCTGTGTGGTTACACAATGCCTGAGCTGACGGGGTGAGAGGCTGTGTTTTTAAGCCCCGACTCTTTAATTAAGCTTGTTTTCCAAACAGGTGTTTTTGTTCAGAAAGCAAAAACCTGTTTGTTAAAATGTGAAGTTTTATAACCGAGACTGTTTTAGGAAGTGAGGACATTAATACAACGGATTCTTAGAAGTTTTTCAAGTTTTGAAAAGTGAGAAGTGTCATCATCTGACTTTTACAGCATAGTGAGGAGAGTATTTGAATGACACACAGTTTCAACTTTTCCCCCAACCTTCGAAAAACGTTGTCGCAGCGCTGAGATCAAACCCAGATCTCAGCTGTTTTCATCAATGTTCAGCTCTTTAATCCAGCCAAGGTTTGACACTTATAGTTTTGGCGTGGGCCAAACTGAAAAGAGTCAAACAACTCCTGTGCACGGGAGGCCAAAGAAACGCCGCACTTACTGGGCTGCTGTTGCTCGGCCTACTTTTTCATTTGGATTTCAGAGGTTTTCAGGCTGTGAGCGAGGAGCAGAGACAGAAGAGTCATACGCTGCACATCAGATACAACGATGTCATCTGTATCGTTACATCTGATGTGCAAACTCATTTAGAAATCAGAGCACTGAGAGTCTTCATGTTTTTATACTTCAGTGACGGCTCAGATGAAACGATTAAAAGCTAATTCTGCGGATTCAGTCTTCAAATTGTAAAGAAATGAAAGGCTACAAAAGCAGCGGGTAATGGCCCCGAACAGCCGAGCTGCAGACAGAAATGACCGATAATCACCTGAGGCTGCAATTACCAGATAACGTCTCTCTGTTCAGTCTGCTTTCATGGCTGTACTGGACCTCCATGGGATGAAATATAATATAAGTCTCTTTTATTTATGCAGCTTCAAATCACGGATGCATGTCAGAAGCTTAAAGCCAGAGACTGATGACTTAAGGAAAAGTTAAAGCTCCCGAAGCAACAAGACAGCAAAGTTTTACCTCTAAAGAATAAAACTTGTGTCAGCCAGAATTTATTATCCCAAATCCTTTTAAATCCAAGCAGATCACAGCTTTCTTTGTAAAGAAGGAAGCAGAGTGTTTGATGACGAAAAGTTTTGGAGTGGAGGATCCCGTTAAGGAGCCAGGACGAGGAGGTCACTGCTTCAGGAGGAACCGTGAGACGCCAGCTCGTGTTTCCCTCACAGGTTCATTCACAGCTTTGCTTCGGTGTTTTCCACACGTTTGCTCCCGAGCTCCGTAATCGAAGGCTTCCCGCTGCGTTCACCGTCCCGCTGTGCTGCAAACACACGTTTATCAGTACAGGGGGGGCTCCATCATTTAGAAGACCACGCCACAATTCTCCACAGGACACTTCTGATTATGCTGCACTCTGAAGTCAAATGAAAAAGCAGCAGGACGATCACGTTGAAAGGAGCTGTTGCCTCTGTCATATGTTCTGTACGTCACGCATGTTGCCAACAGCCTGGAGGGCAGAGCACGCTGTATTCTGCTTCTACGTTCTGACGAAGCTCAGATCCTTCAGTGTGTGCACCAACATGTTGGAGATCTTCTACCAGTCGCCAGAGGTGCCAGCAGGGTCAAGGCTGGAACGATTCAATCATTGGTCAGTCAGTCAGTGAGGGTCAGGACTGAACACACTGCTGTCCATCGTGGAGAACCCACCTGAGGAACGCTGCAGGAGATGATGCTGTTCTCTCTGCAGGTGAACACTCCTGTCAGGACAGACTCCACACACATTTCTGGATCGCCCTTCATGCTGCTGTCTCTTCAGGTTTACACTCTATATATTTTTATTAATGCCGCTTGCACTACCACTCTTTCTCTCTTGCACAATCTCAGTGCACGCTACATCGTCTGCACAGTTCAGCATGAGTCTGATTTTTATCACTGCTATACATAAAAATTTTGCACTACTGCATTATTAGTCTTTCACTTTACTATTAACAGTGTTGATTTTGTGAATTATACTATTTTATTCTGTATGCTGCTGTGGAAACAGTAACTTCTTCTTCAGACCAGCACAGTATCAGAGAATCAGTACAGACGGTGCTGCATCGTTGGACCCAGACAGACTATTTATTACTGCTGCCACTGTGACACCCTGTGACACCCTGTGACACCCTGTGATAATGTGTTTAAACATGTTTCAGCCCTACAAACCACAGCTTCTAACTGTGACTGCTGCAGTGAATGACAGCCTGGTCAGGGTTAGGTTTTCACTCAGTCGTGTGGTTGTTTCTCTCATGAACCATGACCCAGGACTTTCTAACTGCAGGGACTCACAACAAGTTTAAATAAGAAGCCACAGATATTCTGATGTCCGTGATCAGGCAAGTGGGGAGTCTCAGTATGGTCTGAATCTTTGTCATTGCTCTTTTATTTACTTGATGGTAGTTTTCACTCTGTGATTTTATGAATAATGTTAGGCACACGCTGTCCTGGGTCGCTGATCCAGTGCTTTGTGTTTATGCTTTTGTGTTCTGGTGTTTCCAGAGTGACTCCTAGTTCAGTTTTCCATAGTGGCTCTGGTTTCGTCCCCTTACTGTTTTGCTTGTGTGTTGTCGGCAGTGTTTCCTGTGTTTGTCAGTCTTGTTGTCATGTCCCGTCCATTATTCATCTCAGTGTTCGGTCTTTAGCACAGTGCTGCGTTTGGGTCCACCCTCTGCTGGCACACAGCTGGACCCTCACACCGACATCAGATTATGGACACTGACAGTTAATTTCTGGGTTTTTGTTTGCAGTGTAAATTATTTCAACATGCACCACTAAAAATCTGGGGCTGGGACACATACTTTTACCTTCATCAGGGGTAAAACGTATTTACCAAATCACAGCTTGTGGTTTTGTAGGGCAACTTGCTATTTGTCCATGTTAGCTTAGTGTTAGCCATCATCAGCCAGAATAAAGATGGCTGAGGCTCATTTGTCATTTAAACCCAAAAGTCTTTCTGATGTTTACTGTAGTTTTTTACGATGGCTTCATTCACTACAACAAGCCTTTTTTGGCTGCAGCTGTTTATCTGATAACTCTGACAAACTGCTTTATTCACAGCAGCTCGCTGTGCGCTCTTTGCTGTTGTCTCTGACTCTGTGAAGGACTGATTCAGTCCAATCAGACTGTTAGAGGCAGCCAGAGAGTCGGGGAAGGATCTTGATACAATATTGGCAACAAAAAGTGTTTGATAGCTGCGAAAAGCAGCAAAGACAACATTTAATTTCATCTTGGTGCAGCTTTTTGCTCCGACAGCTAAACTAATGAAATGTGACAACTGAGCTTCATATGTGAATGTCAGGATGTAAGAGCAGCTGATTAATGGCTGTGAGCGTAATTGCTCTGAAATGAGATGTGATGAATTATCCCCAGTGTGTGTTTGTCACACACGCAGATATAAACACAGACCTGAGTGTCTTCCTGTGCATGTCTTCCTCTGTGATGCCGACATAAGTGAGCGTTTCATTCCACACTGGATTCAGGGAGTTACGGATCGTCCTCGTTTTCAGCTTATTGGCCTGAAGGACACACACACACACACACACAGATATTAGTAATTACTAACACAGTTTGACATTTCATTTCAGCAGCTCTGCACAGAAGTTCAAACAGTGCAGAAAATGTGTTTAAACCTTTTTAAGCTCAGGTATGAATCTCATTAAAGACTGAATTCGTGGCTGCGTCGCTTCAAGACAAAAGTCAAATAAAGATAAGATCCCATCAACAACAGGACGAAAGGAAAAACAGGTCAGAGAGAAGATTTTCTTTTTCACACCAGAGCCAAGATGGAGATAAACTTTAATGTTATTTGGGGACCCAGACAGTCATTGCTGTCTCCTCACAGCAATAAACTCAAGTTCACAAAGATTGCACAATTAATAAAGCAACAATCAAAGCATCACTTCAGCGAAGGTGCCGGAAACCCGACGAGAGACTTAACTAGCATCAGGATAAAAGTCAATCCGTCCTCAGTATTTTTACACATTGCTCGTGTCAGGAGGAGGATTTCATTTCATGGCTTTGAAACGGCTGCTGAAAATCCTGAAATGAGCCGAAGCCAAAAATGTGCTGCCAGCACCACCACTGAACCGTGGACGCTACATTTCAGGCGCTCACAGGCGGCTTTACGTAAACACAGAGGCCACGAAACCAGAATAAAATCACTTTTTACATATTTCAGCTGACTGTATCATGTTCTTCTCTTTTCCAGCTGCATATTTTTATTCTTAGAGCAGTTTTGCATCGTTGACTGCTCAAAGTGAAGCGCTCTCACACAAAATAACCTCCATGGGAAACAAAACCTTGTGACACTTTTTTGAACATGATCAACTTTGTCAAACTGATGTCAGTTTGATTTTCTGAAGCATGGATATTAAAAGGTAACAGTCACGTGATTCCAGCCTCCTAACTTCCTGTAACTTCCTGTAACTTCCTGTAACTTCCTGTCTTTGACACGACAGCGCTGAGTGTCCCCAACAGCTTCTGTAGTCTAACTGTTCATAATGGTAAATGAATAGTTATTAATAACTAAGCTCGACTTTTTGAACCTGAATAATCAGATTTGACCAATCAGACCACGAGGTCGACTTTTCTTCACGCTGAGGATGAATTTTATCCAAAAACAACATGTTTGGTGTTATTTGCTACACAGGAAGTTCAAAAACGTCCCACTTTGTCAGAACGCACTCGGTGTGACCCGACGGCCACTCTGACTGCGTCTACAGCACGCCACCAGTCGGGCCTACAGTGGTGCATGTCTGCATGTCTGAGTTTGAAGCTTGAAGTGAAGCGCTGTGAATACTGTACTGATGCGCTGAACACTGACTTCATTATTAGAACCTGACCGTGTTTTATGTGAACGCCGTTGTAACGGCAAATATTTGAGAGGAAATAAGAAAAAGCAGAAAAATAAATCTGGTCGGTCTGTGGCTGTACGAGCAGAGTGGCACCTTTACCTCCGGCTCATCAAAATGCAGAGAGAAAATAACAATGAGTCAGTGACACCGATGTTACCCAAGCTGCTAAAAAAAACAAAAACTCAACTCGAACAAATCTGGCGTGAGAGAAATAAACAACATCCCCCATATGGAAAAGATATTTTTAAATCTTATAAAGTTTGTATCTGTCTTGTGTGAAACTTGTATGAAAAGCACACAAGAGTGAAAACAGATATAAGATCCCTTAAAAATTATATAAATGAAACTTGTATGTTTTGGATACTTCCTAAAACAATGTATGAAAGTAATGAGAAAGTGGCCACTTTCATGAGTAATCACATATAAGTTTTTACTATTTCTTTTCCATATGGGCCATTTTAAGCAGCAGGAAGTGACACAGAGGTCAGAGGGCGATGCTTCGTCCTCTTATTTGTTCAGTTACACTAGCACTAGCTTTACTGTGAAACTGTTCCAAACAAAACCTTTAATTCACGCTGATGTTCGTGTGGGATGAACTGTTGTAACAGAGTCATCATCTTTACTTACGTTACAGCACCTCTGTGTGGCTTCCCCTAACACAAAGTCGAACGTCAACAGCAACTTTGTTCTAGATAAGCAGATAGGGCTGTGCGATATGACCAAAACCTCATATCCCGATATAAAACATCTATCGTCCGATAACGATATAAATCACAAAAATGTAACATTTTCTGTAAATTCTGTGAATCTCGGGCAGCTCGACTTGTGTGACGTGTTTCCAGCTGGGCGTCGTGTAGCTGGAGTCGAGTGTTTTAACGATGCATGAAACGACACATTTTTAGACATAAGTTGTAACGGCGCCGTTTTCTTTGTATTTATTACACGGCGTGCTGCGGGGAGGAGCCTGTTCTAACGTTTGAGTCTAAGGTCTATTTTTTAGCACCTGGCGTCTTTTTTGCTTCTCATCCGTAAACACTCTGCATCTTTCACGTGATTCAGTTTATTTTGAAAAGTCTCAACAGGATCTTGAGCTTTATTGTGAAAGGTTTATGTGGAACATAAACAAGCGGACACGCGATGCTGTTACCGTCGTTGTTGCTAACGACGATGCATAAAAACAGGCGCTTGTCCGTCTGTAGTGTGGTTATATTAAATATAAGAGGAAGAGATAACTTTATTAATACAGCCACTACAGTGACATCAGAACCATGAAAAAATATTAATGTAAACAGTTTATGTTGAGACACCACAAAACAAACGATAGCGTGAAATGCAACGATAGACGTTTTTAAATCGTCATCAGATATATATGGTTATATCGAACAGCCCTAAAGCAGAAGTATGTGTAGCATCTGCAGGATGGTTGTTATCCCTTCAGCTGTTTCGTCAGGGCACTGATGTCTCTGTGTGCACATCTCTCCAAACACAGCAGGATCTAAAGGACGAGTAGTGTCTGATAGTCTGGGATGTTGAATTAGTCGGTACACTCAAATCTTGCCCTCGCCATGTTTCACTGGTATCACTGGTATAACCCTGTGGTATCGATCACAAAGAGGGCGACGAGCCGGCAGGTAGCAAAGTATGAAAGTGAAAGCATGAAATCTCAGAGATTAGTGCCGTGGTGAAGCAAGATGTCAGAGGAAAACAAGACAGAGGCAAAAACACCAGAGACACACGGTGAAAAATACTTTCAAAATAAAACAGGAAGTAAAGCATTTCTCATGAAGGTTTCTAACAGAGTGAAGTGATCTGGAGGCATCTGCAGTCATAACAACATTAAGATGACCTCCTTCACCTGAGGATACTCTGGAGCATCCTTACAAGCATCCTTCAGTTACTGCCACTAATGAGTCATCAGTCATTTTTGCCATCACCCACTGTGGAATGATGGGAGGTCAGCTGAGTGTTTCCTCTTTTTCTTTCCCTTCCTGAAAAGTGCTGTAGTGCTCCTCATCAAGCTCATGCTGGAAACATGAGGCACAGCCTGCAGGTCAGAAACACCTGAACACTCAGTGGGACTTTCTTCTTCTTTCAACTGGAGCTTTTGAGGTCCACACAGTCTGCCTCCATCCTGCCCAATCCCAGCGTCCCGCTCTGTCACACCAACCCTCTGTGGTTATGAACGGTCTCTCACCTTACAGGCTCCGGGCAGCAGGTGCAGTTTGACGTACGGGTCAGCTAAACCGTTGAAGTCCATCGGCTTCAGACCCTGCAGATAACAGAAGCAAGTGAGCATATCATTATTATTATTTGATGTTTCATTGCATCCAGATTACAATCACGAAGATGGCGAGAGGAACGTCACGGCAGGTACAGCTATCCTCTACATGAACCGTGAGACTAACCCAGGAAAGGTTATAAAAACTATCATAATAATAAAGTTAAGAGAGGAAGTGAAATATGTCACCTGGAACGTATCATTAGAATAAATACAGAATCAGAACAGGAACCCAAAACCAAGAATTCCCACTTTACTATAAATCCAGCCGCTATAACCTGTGATTCCTGACATTTTCTCCACATCTTCTCCGGCTGTTCACATCTCAGGAGTATAAAAACTAAAAGAGGCGACAGGACAGATGATTTTTCCACACGGGCAGATGAAACACTTGATTTGAATCTCTTGACCTCATCAGTGGGAGCAGATCATCGTGACAAATTGCTCCTAAATCTCTTTCAACAGCTTTGACATTTGCAGTGCCGGCAGACGAAGCGATTTCTCCTTCTGTGCATATTCCCCTCCACCCCCACCCACAGCATTTTTAATGAGACCGAGGCACCACACAGAATCTGACCTTCCACATCTACCTGAAATACAATCCAGTGTCACAAGTGACAGCTATGATACCTCGAGTTTCAATTACATGTACTTTTGTTCATCAGTGTCAGACATCCAGTTTCATTTGAATGGTGTGAGCAGTTAGTTGGTTCAGCCACAGTCGTTCACGTGGACGCATGGCGTTTGTGTCTGACTCTCCTACAGCTTTGAGTTTGGGCTCCAGCAGCTGAAGCTGAAAAACCTGCAGTTCCTCTAATAATAATAATAATGGATTGCATTTATATAGCACTTTTCAAGGCACCCAAAGCGCTTTACAATGCCACTATTCATTCACTCTCACATTCACACACTGATGGAGGCAGCTACAGTTGTAGCCACAGCTGCCCTGGGGCAGACTGACAGAAGCGAGGCTGCCATATTGCGCCATCGGCCCCTCTGGCCAACACCAGTAGGCGGTAGGTGAAGTGTCTTGCCCAAGGACACAACGACCAGGACAGAGAGCCCAGGGATCGAACCAGCGACCTTCCGGTTACAGATGCACTTCCCAACCCCCTGAGCCACGGTCGAACAGTGTTAATGTTCACATGTGTAAACCTACAAGAGCGACTCGCTGCACCCGCCAGAGGTCCCGTGTCCACGGCAACATCGGGTCAGAGCTGGATCGTGTTTGAATAATGTGGATTCACTGCCCGCACAAAAAGCTGCTTCTTAATGTTTCTATCAAATATTTAACCTTAGAATTGGTGGATTATTCTGCTGAACGTTTCTGGCAGCGGTTACCAGGCGTGTCTTTTATTTGCTGATGTTAAAGGTGTTAAAAAATTCTGAGCTTTCCGTCGTCCCTGCAGAAAGAAATGTGTGCACACAGCAGGGAGCGCCGAGGTAATCCACCTGCTCGAATCTGAAACTGCTCCTTCATCTGCTGCAGAAATGAGTCGATGCCAGGAGGGAAATCACCGACATTCAAGTAGGTACTCAAATTAAGAAAACAGCAGAGGAAACAAAGGATACAGCAGGTGCTCAGATTATCTCCCATCCCTCACGAAATGAAGCAATTTCATTCTCACATGTGTTTCTATTAGTGTTGCACTGCAGAGCGAGAGCAGCGCCGACTGCATCAGTGTCACGGTGATCTAAGAGGGAAGGAGACGACTTTGCCTCTGTGCTCGAAGCGGCTCGTGCTGATCTCTGCTTCATTAAAATCTGAAGACTTTGCAGCTTCAGGACACAAACCATACATGACAGGAACAGCTTTGAGCTCCAACAACTTTCTGTCACCAGCTGTGGAGCACGAAGTGTGACTCAGTAATGGGACCAGATTCTTTTCATTTGTATTAAGTGTTCAGAATTCAACTGTAGTTCATTATGACCTAAAGTTAGCTTCCTGCTTTTTGTCCGTGTACATTAAACAAAGCTGAATCTGTTGTTTTTGTGATGCTTTTACTTTTTCATTTCCTTTTCATTTGTTGGTTTGTTACAGGAAGCCATTAAACATCCTCAGTTAGATTTAAGCACTCGGGTTCAGGCATCACACGGTGCCCCCTGAACCTTCAAACATACGCATGTGGCAGAAGGGAAACTTCCAGCTCGTCTAAGAAACGAAAGAGTTCAGATAAACAAACAGCGGTTATCTTTCTCATGCCAGGGTCATGGCTTTGCCTTCCAGCACGACAACCAGAAACGTGCGTTTGGTCATCACGTTGGTCTTGTGGTGAAGAACAACCTCCAGAAGACCAAAGTGACGGTTACTGATGGGCTTCAGCCCCACTGATGGTGAAAACACCATCAAACCTGGAGGAGCTTCAGAGATGCTCAGGACTGGTCAGGAGACGTGTGTGAGAACCGCTGCAGCTCGTAGCACAAAGGACGACCGTTAGCATCGTTCTAGTAGCTCCTGGTTTTTGTTCCTGTGCAAAGTGAAATTATGGATGCATCCAAAATAAAACTGGGACGTTTGGAAATTTGTCGGGGAAACAGTTTGTGAGAGGTGCACTCGTGTCCTCATGTGTAACACGGGCAGAGAGCTGAGTAGAAAAAATGCCGTTTTTTGAATTTGCTGAAATCTGGTTCTGGTTCTTTGAAGCTAACTTTGGTGTGACTAATGAAAAGCTTTTTGTGAAATACAAACACTTTTGAGTTGTTTATTTAATGAGAACAAAGAGTTTATTCTCACTGTGAAATATAAAGCCAGCAGCCCGAGGGGACGAAACAAACCTGCTTCAAACAAACGGTCTCTGGACAGATAAACAAGGTAAAGGCAGGAGGTGAAGCGACTGCGCCATAATTCAGATCAAGCTGTCACAGCAGAGTCCAATTTAAGTGTCACAAACAACAAGAGGGAGACAAACGGAGGCTGTAAAGAGACGACGGGCTGCAGTCAGAGCAGGTTCAGCTCCCCACACTCTGTGCATGCACACTGAGACAGCGGTGCATGCAGCACACGCCAACATGCAGGGAGGAGAAATCTCTTTAATATATGCTGCGTTTGTGCAGGTTAGCAATGCTGAACAGCCTCAGCAGTGTGCGCACGGCGACAGCAAACAAACACGTCTCCATCATATTTGTGTTTGTAATGATGGGAGACGCCTCTCAGAGGTTCTCTGAGACAGACAAAAATAACCTTTCATTTCTTTCCTCCCTCAAAATAAGTCTTTAGATCCACTTTTTTTATAAACACCTAAAACTTCATAGACATTTTTTGTTGATGTCTGAAGGCATCAAACACCGACCCATCACTTCCTGGACTCCACAGCCTACTGTGGTTTGCAAATCCCACTTTATAAAGCTTCATAGAGGGTGGAGTGTTATATCCCAGTAACATGCAAGTAAAATACTAGAATTCCACTCAGCACACCTGGAGCTCAGGCTTCTTGAACAATTAGTACAATAACCTCGCAGCTGCCATATTACGGGTCAAATAATGTCATTATTATAATTTGAAGGCTCCAACAGCACAAACACAGACTGGAGGTCCAGGTCAGATGAAGCTAGCAGACAGCTACAGCCACCTGTGTCAGCTACAGAGGCCACGCCCCTAATAATGCAAACATGGAGCCAGGCTATAAAGTGTTGGAGCCTCTAGTGGACGTTAGAGGAACTGCAGATTTTGGTTCTTTAGCCCTGTAAAGCTGATGCTTGTTGATGTTTCAGTAAAATCAGCACCAAAAAGTTTCTGCTGGGACGTCTGCAGTAACTCCACTTCATCCTCACGGAGCTGCTGTTGGTCCATCTGCATTCTGAAAAAGGTGGTGCAGATTAGCAGCTGTCAGATCTTTAGGAACACCCCGCTCTGGATACATGGATCAAAGGTGGAGCTGTTGGATGGGGTGGTTTGGCCACACTGAGCGCAGTAGTTATCAGGAAGAGAATAAAATAGAGAATAAGAGTTTTAATAAATATTCCTGATTTTTCCCATCTTCTGCCACAAGCTGGACCCAGATAAGTTTGCTCCCTCTCTGTGGGCTCGTGCTGAGGGTGGGGATGTCTTTCAGCTTCAGCTCTCTCTTCATGACGTCTCAAGCCAAGAGTCTGAAATCACTGTCTTGGTGTAAGATGTGCGAAACCAGGAGTACCAGATGCTCGTAGCGATTGTGATTGATGGCTCGTTAGACAGAGCTGGATGATTCTCCTCTCACACTCAGAAGGACCATAATTTACAAAATGCATTCAATGTTTTATTCAGACTTGTGACCGAGCCCATAAACCCATCAGGAGAGTGTTTACTGAGGTCACAGAGGAAGTCATGTGACTTCTGCACAACCAGGAATCTTTTTGCATCTGACAGAGTCGCCTCCTGTTTGACATTAGTAAGAATTACAGCTGTCGCAGTCAGACGCAGAGGCGACGCCATCTTTTGTAACATCTGTGAACAGTCATGGTGAGCTGTGGGATGATTCTCCGAGCAAGCCTGACGGATGAGAACCCAAAACAAGGTGCGGTGTAACCTGTGCCAGGTACAGGCAGGCCGTCACACGTCTACCATAAGGAGGAGTGATCTTTGGTGAAGAGCCAGATTCTCCATAAATACACAACAATATGCATCCTTTCCTGGCCAGTCCACCCGGGCTTTAAGCAGGACTGTCTGTGGTGCTCAAATAACCCCGAGGAACGACTCAAAAACAGGAAATGGTGTGATGTGATGGCTTTAAAGCCAGGAATGAATCCCACGTGGTGTGAAGGAGAAAAACCTTCAAACATTTTGCAGCTGAAGGGATTTTAAAAAGAAGAGAGGTCAAAGATTTCAGCGAGCCGATGTCAGACACGGCTGGACAATTATGCAAAACGCCTACGAGGAGGTATTTTGGTTAAAGTGGGCGACGCTTGTACCTGGTGCCAGCGGAGTAGTACGTTTAGTCTGTCAGTCTGATGTTTGTAGTGATGTGTATCGCTGCTGATATTCAAACAAAATGTCAGATAACCTGAGGAACGGTTTTAAAAGGGACGAATTACACGTTGTTTTTCATAATGACACTTTGAGGTAAAACCTCAGTGAAACCAAATGCATCCTGATGTAAAACAGCAGAAAACGTCATATGTTTCATCTCACTTTAGGCTGTTTGCTGGATATAGCACACGGCACGCCCATCAGCATCACTTTGGTGACTCCAGCTCGACGCCTGCTCTTCACACCAAACACGGGTCTCCAGCCCGAGGCTCGGCCGCCTCTTATCTCACCTCCTCCTGACTCCTGACACCTGCTCTGGGACTGTTACTGGGTCAACGACGAGCTGAGGATGCACGCATCGTTTTCCTGCAGCTTCCTCAGATCCATAATCAGAGATTACTCTCGCTCCTCAGCAGCAGCACCCAGACGAATAAAAGTGTGTGTGAGTGAAATTTACTGACCAAATAACAATCTGTGCAGCAGACCCACAGGTCCAAGTAGCTCAATAAATCTGAATTTGCACAGAAATACTATTAGAGCTCATATTTATCTTTGACAGCACAACCTTCATTATTCTTCACTCTGTGGAGGGAATCTAATTCGTAGCAGTTCATGAAACTAGAGCAGATTTAATTTATGATGAGTGGTGAAAATCCACAGCTGAGAGCAGACTTTAATTATTATTATATAACATAGTTCCCTGTGTTTAATCTGCTTTATGCAACTTTCTCATATATCATGATTATTATTATTATTACTCTTATTGGATTATAACTTGTCTTAAAAAAGCTAAACAAAGTGATTTTCACGTGAAGGGCTCAGGGCGGATTTTTCGTTAAAATCCTGGGATCCTCCTTCATTCCTGATATGAAGGTTTATGAAATATACTGAAGCTACTGCACAGCGTAAATCAGCTGATCGGTTTTACTCCATATGGGCTGTATGCTTCCTGTTGCATGAAAACAGAGAAGAAGAGCGTGTCGGTGTCTGCAGAGCGTCCTCACCTTGGCCCGCAGCACGGTGCAGTGCAGCTTGTTGGAGCTCTGCTCGTACCTCAACTCGAACTCCAGCGTTCCCAGAGCAGCTGGGGAATCATCGCAGGCAGAGGGAGGAAACAGACAACATCCATGATTCATGAAAGAAAACATGATTACAAGCCTCGCGTCAACAAGCGCAAGAGAGCAAAACTGTTAGATTTAATTGAAAGCATGCAAGAGAACAGAGAAACATGTCAGGCATGTCATGCAATCAGAAGATGGGAATCCAATTTGGAGGAGAGCGCACGTGACTCACAGTCTTCCTACAAAGAAGAGCAAACATTCACAGCCGTGCACGTGTAACAGGGCACACACGCTCACTCAGATAACACGTATGATTCACACTAACACATCACTGCTTACATAACTAACCGCACTCATACGCTAACTCTGAGCTGCTGTGTGTAGCGGACTAACGGCTACGTTACTCTGCTGCACGGTGAACGAGAGCGGCCTCTGCCACGTCCTGGTTTTTCTTCTTCACTGAGTGAACCTCGCGGCTCAGGGCCGCTGTGACTGAACATTTTAATGTTCAAATGACAGAAAGACATGAAAATGACTGCAGAGGCCACAGGACGAGATGGCAGTCACAGTAACACAAAGAAAAAGAAAATCAAACACAAAGGCGTGATTTTGGCATTAAGTTCATTTCTATGGAGCCCCTCTGATGACATGGTCGAAAAAAGAAATAAATTGTGGCCACGAAATACTAACGTGGCAACGAAACAGATAACCTGCGCACATCATATTGATACAATTCCTGGACAGCTGCGTAGAGACATAAGCATGAGAGTAGGCTAAACCTATGCACCGTGGACAGAGACAGTATGATGAAGTTTTATTTTAGGCTGGGGATGAGCTACAAATGCATTTTGAAAAGCCTGCAATGCAAGGAACCATTATTACGGAGAGACATTTAAACAGGACATTTGCTTTACAGACGTACGTAGGACCTGGATTTGATTGTCAACCAACTGCAAGGGCCTGAAGGATCACGGTTATCGGTCAAGTGTTTCGTGCCCACAAATTAGCATTTCATGCTCATGAAATAGTATTTCATCGCCACAATTTATTTATTTTTTGGACCATGTCGTCAGAGGGGCTCCGTACATTTCAGTCTTCTGATGAAAATGTTTTAGTTTTACACAGTTTCAATTCAGGTAATCAGGTAAACTCCCAACACACAGTGATCAGGACCGAGTCAGGCCACGGGCAGGTTGTACAGGACTTTGTGGGTTGTTGTGATGAGTCCTTCGTTTCATTAAAGGCGTCAAAATCAAAAGACGTGATTATTGATTTTGGGAAGTCTTCTTATAGCTCATCAGCCGCTGTCATTAAAGATACTGAGATTGTGCAGAGTGTGAGGCTGCGATTCGCTGTTTGGTAACATGACTCTGAAGAACAAGAACCAGTTGGGAGTTTTGCTATAAACTGCCAGAAAACTGTCAGGGCCTGTGGCCATGTATAACAACGCGTGCTGAGGAAGGCTCGTGTTCAGTTTGACTCGCTCGTTGCCTTCGAGTTTCACCTGCGAGGTCGACCAAAAAGACTCCAGGTTTCTTTTATCCCGACTGCGACTCGTCTCCTTAATGGCAAATAATCCAAATAACTGTCGTGTGGCTTTTTATAATAATAATGGATTGGATTTATATAGCACTTTTCAAGGCACCCAAGGCGCTTTACAATACCACTATTCATTCACACACTGGTGGAGGCTACAGGTGTAGCCACAGCTGCCCTGGGGCAGACTGACAGAGGCGAGGCTGCCATATCGCGCCATCGGCCCCTCTGGCCAACACCAGTATGCGGCAGGTGAAGTGTCTTGCCCAAGGACACAACGACCCGGGAATCAAACCGGCAACCTTCAGATGCGCTTCCCAACCCCCTGAGCCACAGTCGCCCCGTGCTCATTTCATCATCACCATCACTTTTATTTATTCTTATTGTTGCCTTTGCTGCTAAACTAATTTCCCCTGTGGGACAATAAAGACAATAAAATAAATTGAGTTGAATTGAAAATCCATCCATTCTTTTCCGCTCGTATCCTTTTGCAGGGTCGTGGGGAGCTGGAGCCTATCCCAGCTGTCTTAGAGGATACACCCCGGACAGGTCGCCACACACAGACAACCATTCACACTCACATTCACACCTATGGCCACTAACTGCATGTGTTTGCACTGTGGGAGGACGCCGGAGTACCCGGACAGAACCCACACAAACATGCAAACTCCACACAGAAAGACCCCGGCCTGAACTCAGGACCTTGCTGTGAGGCCACTGTGCTGCCCATGAATTGAGAATCTCAGATATTTTATTTGTAGATAGTACTCATACGCAGATCAACATAGCGAACACTTCTAGAAGCAAAATATTCAAACAAAAAAAGATTTTAAAAAATGAGAAATAGGGGGCGCTAGTGAGGCATGTGCGAGTGTAGACGTCCCTCGTCAAAATGACTTTAAGAAAATCTTTTAATGCTCTCAAAAGCACATCAAACCCATCTTTTCGCCAAATTCATAACCTGCTGATTACTGTGGATATATTTCTGGGAGCCTTTCAACAATGGTGAAGCCCAAACTTCAGAAGAGCGATCGATGTAGGCCTGGAAGCCTCTTCGAACTCAGCTGGTGGGGACCCCACGCCTGCACTGGAAAAGGATGAATGTGAGCCGTCGAATAAACTGCTACTAACTGCTATGACTAGCTTGTGTTCAGAGATAAATACGATCAAGCCTAAATTGTGCACCACACTGGACACTCACATGTTAGAGATTTCTACCACCATAAGAGGCGAGGTATCGTCCTTGAACCAGAGCATCCAGGCCTCAATTTCGGACATAAAAAGCGACGTGGCCAAGCACGATAACACTTTGACTGAACTGCAGGCCTGTGCCTCAAACCACTCTGACACCATCGCCACTCTCCAGGCCACTGTGGAGCGTTTGTCTACAGGGTTAAAGAAGTTAGATGAGAAATGTGAAGATCTTGAGGCACAATCCAGGAGGAATAATGTAAGAATCACGAGAATACCAGACGGCATAGAAGGACCCAGAATGAGTTTGTTCCACAACTTTTGGCGGGGGCGCTATCTCTCGAGGAGAAGCCGCTAATCGATCGACCACATAGAGAAAAAAGTTTAACATTTAAAAAATAGGAAAACACGAGGAAAACTAACTTTGAATCTGAGCTTAAGTAAATCCCTCAGAGGCTGGATTATGTCTTCAGTACAAAGATGATGTGGCTAACTAATCCGGTCGTTAAGTGATGACGTGACGAATCTTACTTCCGGGTCTAAAGTAGTCTGTGTTTAATATGGCTTTTGTGTGTTAACATGTTTAATGTTTTGTATTTTCTTCTATTTGATCTCAAAAAGCTCCTAAAACAGTCAGTGATCCCTGTTGACCTCCCTCGGCTTTTATTACCGCTAATCATTTATTCAAGCTCAGTTTTTAAACCCTTAGGATGTAACTACAGCCCAGCCCATGCAGCAGTATATGAACGACTAACCTCGTATAGTGGATGGATTATCTCAGTTGTTCTCCTGGCTGAAGTTTGGTCCTTTTACAGCATCCTGCCATGCGATTACATTTGTTCCTGACCACCGAGAACACTCACGTTAACTTTTATCGAGTGGAAAAAAAAGTTAGCTTGTTTATATTATGCTAACATAGCTGTGT